ATACCAAGGTGTACTGTCATGTTTATAGTTTTAGTTGTTAAAATCTTGTTTTTTAATATTGTGTCTTGTAAATTCTATTTATAATACCAAGATGTGCTGTCATGTTTATAGTTTTAGTTGTTAAAATCTTGTATTTCAATATTGTATCTTGTAAATTCTATTTTTATAATACCAAGATGTGCTGACATGTTTATAGTTTTAGTTGTTAAAATCTTGTATTTTAATATTGTATCTTTTTAATTCTATTTATAATACCAAGATGTACTGACATGTTTATAATGTTATTTGTTAAAATCTTGTACTTCAATGTTGTATCATGTAAATTCCATTGATAATACCAAGATATACTGACATGTTTATAATGTTATTTGTTAAAATCTTGTATTTCAATATTGTGTCATGTAAATTCCATTGATAATACCAAGATATACTGACATGTTTATAGTTTTAGTTGTTAAAATCTTGTATTTTGATATTGTATCTTGTAAATTCCATTGATAATACCAAGATATACTGACATGTTTATAGTTTTAGTTGTTAAAATCTTGTATTTCAATATTGTATCATGTAAATTCTATTTATAATACCAAGATATACTGTCATGTTTATAGTTTTAGTTGTTAAAATCTTGTATTTTAATATTGTATCTTGTAAATTCCATTGATAATACCAAGATATACTGACATGTTTATAGTTTTAGTTGTTAAATACTTGTATTTCAATATTGTATCATGTAAATTCTATTTATAATACCAAGATATACTGTCATGTTTATAGTTTTAGTTGTTAAAATCTTGTATTTCAGTATTGTATCATGTAAATTCTATTTATAATACCAAGATATACTGTCATGTTTATAGTTTTAGTTATTAAAATCTTGTATTTTAATATTGTGTCTTGTAAATTCTATTTATAATACCAAGATGTACTGTCATGTTCATAGTTTTAGTTGTTAAAATCTTGTATTTTAATATTGTGTCTTGTAAATTCTATTTATAATACCAAGATGTACTGACATGTTTATAGTTTTAGTTCTTAAAATCTTGTATTTTAATATTGTGTCTTGTAAATTCCATTGATAATACCAAGATATACTGTCATGTTTATAGTTTTAGTTGTTAAAATCTTGTATTTTAATATTGTATCTTGTTAATTCTATCTATAATACCAAGATGTGCTGTCATGTTTATAGTTTTAGTTGTTAAAATCTTGTATTTCAATATTGTATCTTGTTAATTCTATCTATAATACCAAGATGTGCTGTCATGTTTATAGTTTTAGTTGTTAAAATCTTGTTTTTTAATATTGTGTCTTGTAAATTCTATTTATAATACCAAGATGTGCTGTCATGTTTATAGTTTTAGTTGTTAAAATCTTGTATTTCAATATTGTATCTTGTTAATTCTATCTATAATACCAAGATGTGCTGTCATGTTTATAGTTTTAGTTGTTAAAATCTTGTATTTCAATATTGTATCTTGTTAATTCTATCTATAATACCAAGATGTGCTGTCATGTTTATAGTTTTAGTTGTTAAAATCTTGTTTTTTAATATTGTGTCTTGTAAATTCTATTTATAATACCAAGATGTGCTGTCATGTTTATAGTTTTAGTTGTTAAAATCTTGTATTTCAATATTGTATCTTGTTAATTCTATCTATAATACCAAGATGTGCTGTCATGTTTATAGTTTTAGTTGTTAAAATCTTGTTTTTTAATATTGTGTCTTGTAAATTCTATTACCAAGATGTGCTGTCATGTTTATAGTTTTAGTTGTTAAAATCTTGTATTTCAATATTGTATCCTTTGAAAATTAAACCTACCTTTTTACTTGGAGTTATCTCCCGTGTAGTGCAATGAGATAAGGTACAGGTGTCTTATACCTGAATACTTATTTCTTAACCAGATTACAACATATCCTAAAAGTTTAGAAATAGAAGTAGCAAATGAATTAACTTCTGTATCTCAATCAAATTCTGATGCAGAGCAGTGCTACTCAACGGGGATTCATAGGCATCCCCAGGGGTGAATTTGAAATTTTCTGGGGTGAAATTAAGAACGAGGGGAATTGGGGGTGAATCAAACACAAAATGAACTCACTGCTTCTCAGAATGACTCCTGAACTGAGATTTTCCACCACCTCGATCAAAACACCAGTTCAATGTGGCTTGACAAATAGAATAAACTCTCTTAATTTGAGTGCAATAGCACAAAACTTTTTATCTTTGTGGGTGTACATTTAGCATCGTAGCAAGTGTTTTGACAAAGAGGAAGTGTGGATATGGAGATCTACGCTTGGAATTAACCAAGCTATTTCTAGATGAAAAGATCCTTGTTCAACACAACCAAGTACAAGGTTCTCGCTGAAGGGTCTTGACTTCTCTTTTGCACTGTTTGTTTAATTCCGTTGCCCCTGTTCTTTTATATAAGACTCAAATCAACCCCCAAAATGGTACATCTCTTTAGTAGGAAACGTTAGTGGAGGGGCCCAAAACATTTTCCAGAGAAAGTGAAAGTTGAAGCTTACTAAAGACAAAATAATGTATTATATTTCTAGTATAGTGAACCTATATCATTATGAGTTCAATTTAAATGAACTGTGACCAATGTGCTTGTAAATATGTAGATAATCTTATTGTTTCACTTCATTGTGATTATAATTTTTTATATCTCCCTGAAAGATTGTGAATAAAGTTGAAACAAAGAGTTATCTATATATTTATTTATTTCATGATAATGTAGCAGGAGGTAATCTAGGTCAGATATTTCAGACCAAAAACCCCCAACCCAAATATCAATCCTGTCGTGTCTGAATACACCAGGAGTTCTAGGTTCTTTCAGGATACTGTGATCTCAATAGGAAGTAATAAATAATTAAACACATTTATTGACTCAAGACAAGACATCACAGAACGAATTTCAAACAATACATTTACACATACATTCAAAACCCTCCAATTTATATCAGTCTATCTGAACGAGCGGAACGTTATGTTCGCGATTCAGATTTGACTGGAAACCAAACCGACCCAAGGCAACCACAACCCCACATCAAACAGCCAGATCGTCACTAAGGTAAGAGCCAACTCTATGAGCGGAGTGTTATAACTCCCACAGAACGAACATGCTTACCCTGAGCCGTCGACCGACCGACTGCCTGTAATAAGATACAATCGAGCTTTTTATAGTGTTCGCTCACGAAAATCCCGTGCAGTGCTAAAGTCAACTCTCATTGGTCGAATCCACACTCGATTGATGAAATGCCATAACGTACAAAAAAATCCGGAAACTCCAACTTCCGTATCAAATTACGGTACATTAAATATGCCACCTGCTACAATAATATTATTATAGATTATAATTGTACCATTCACATATCACACAAAACAAAACAATATATATCGTATATAATTCAATAATAGAAAAAAAAGTGTAAAATAACTTTATCTAATCGAGGTAATGGTAAATAAGACACTAAATTGTTGGAGAAATGAAAACCCCTATCACATGTCAATATTCGATCTCAATAATTGTTTTGAGTACCTCCAACAGAGACCAATTAGTGATATACGCTCTAAAATATTTGCTACGTGTGACCCTTCGTGATCGGGCGTAAAAGATTTTAATCGACGTGATCGGGCGAAAATAGACGCTCGTCTGTCTCCGAGTTAGGAGGATGACACATTCAAAACCGGTTTGTGTTTAGGATTGGTTAGGAACCGTACAAAGGGGTGAACTACAAATTAAAGTGGCTAGTATATCTCCTCGGATACATCCAAGCACAAAACATTATAATAACCCCGTTAAGAAATGACTATAGGATTCTAGATTCTTGAACTTTAATAGTGGTTTTCTTTTGAGTGTGTGTATAACCATTCGGGCCAGCTGTTGTTACCTGTGATGTCATTGTGACCGGTTTGTAATTTCTCTGATATATCAATATGATACAAGAATATAATAATGAAATATGTAAATTTCTAAGAACGATCGACACGACATGCTTTTTTCTATTTGTAGGAAATTATAACCAATACAGTAGACAGTCTGTGTCAGACCTTAAACTTGTTGCATTCTGAACATTAGTCTATGGGACGCACAAAGGCATTTGTATCAGTTTTATTTGGAAGTGTATCAATCTGAAAGTGTTCAATGTGTACAGGACAACAGTAAATATGAAGAAAGGTATCAGAGCAGGAAAAGAAATATCGATTTGTTTCGTTTCATATTTTTCAAATATTATATTACATAATATTGACGTCAACAAAAATTCCATCAATCTGAATAGTAGTATAAAATGGCCATTGATTCATGTTTAATAAGTCATAGATATTATATCATTTGTGAAGACAACAGTGAAATATTTCTTCTCAATATTTACTCCCTGTATATAGAACTATATTTCAATATTTCTAGTGAAGGATAATATACCATAACATAGTGAAATCATTCTGTTTGTCTGTGGAGGTATATAGCACTATATTTCAATATTTCTAGTGAAGGATAATATACCATAACATAGTGACATCATTCTGTTTATCTGTGGTAGATATATAGAACTATATTTCAATATTTCTAGTGAAGTATAATATACCATAACATAGTGAAATCATTCTGTTTGTCTGTGGAAGGTATATAGAACTATATTTCAATATTTCTAGTGAAAGATAATATACCATAACATAGTGAAATCATTCTGTTTGTCTGTGGTAGGTATATAGCACTATATTTCAATATTTCTAGTGAAAGATAATATACCATAACATAGTGAAATCATTCTGTTTGTCTGTGGAAGGTATATAGAACTATATTTCAATATTTCTAGTGAAGTATAATATACCATAACATAGTGACATCATTCTGTTTGTCTGTGGAAGGTATATAGAACTATATTTCAATATTTCTATTGAAGGATAATATACCATAACATAGTGAAATCATTCTGTTTGTCTGTGGAAGGTATATAGAATTATATTTCTAAGAAATATTTTAAAGAATTTATCATGGCAGCTGCTTTACCAAATAATTCCGATCTAGAATGTTCCATTTGTTTTGAAAGTTTCAAAGCCCCAAAAATCTTATCTTGTGGACATTCATTTTGCCAGGGGTGTCTGGTGACATATATTGATGGCAAAAAGGGGACATTTTTATGCCCAGTTTGTAAACAAAAAATAACAATTCCTAAAGGTGGTGTGGAAAAGTTAGCTACAAATTTTGCTTTACAAAGTTTGACGAATTCTCTGACAACAACCCAACCCTCAACTAGTCCTAAACCAAAACATCATTGTCCAAATCACAGTAAGAAGGAGGTAGAATATTATTGTCTATCTTGTAATTTAGGATTATGTTCTAAATGTATTTTAAAAGATCATAACGATCATAAAAGATTAGATTTAGAATGTGACTCTACAAGAGAAATGGTACTCGAAGAAATTTCAAAATCTGAACACTTCATCAAAAACAAAATTGATGAATTGGAAAAAACTCAATCAGCATTGTTAAAAACATCTGATAAACTCAAATCTTTTTGTGATGAAGCTTGTACCAAAATTAGTGAAAATACTATGAAAATAATTTGTGACCTGAGAAAATATTCTGAAAAAAGACAAAAAAACATAAAACGCCAATTTGACAAGAATAGATCAAAACTGACAAAAACTCAACAGAAAGTTATGACTCAGATAAAAAATATCAAGACTGATCTAGATACATTCCGTACTACTACAACAGAGGAACCATCTTTAACTCTTATATATTCACTGAATAAACTCCAAGATTTACAGAAACTCTGTGAAAACACGAAGACCGATATTCCTCCACTGCCGTATTTAGAATATACAGAGGGGAGTGTTAAAGTTTGTGATATTTTGGGATCAAATGTATCTAAAACACTGTATCAATCTGGAGAGGTTAGTGGACCTATAGCAACTGTAACTAAACCACTAGATCAATCTAGAGAGGGTAGTGGACCTATATCAACTGTAACTAAACCACTAGATCAATCTAGAGAGGGTAGTGGACCTATATCAACTGTAACACTGGATCAATCTAGAGAGAATAGTAGACCTATATCAACTGTAACACTAGATCAATCTAGAGAGGGTAGTGGACCTATATCAATTATAACTAAACCACTTTATCAATCTAGAGAGGGTAGTGGACCTATATCAATTATAACTAAACCACTTTATCAATCTAGAGAGGGTAGTGGACCTATATCAACTGTAACACTAGATCAATCTAGAGAGGGTAGTGGACCTATATCAACTGTAACTAAACCACTAGATCAATCTAGAGAGAGTAATGTATTCAAATTTAACTATGTTAAGAGTGATGAGGGTACGTTTTACAGTAAAGATAAATATAATAGTCATGGTATGTATGGATCTGTGGTTATGGAGG